CTTCTGTTCATCTCCAGCCACCGCCTTAGATTGAGGTGATCACTTCTATCCAGCCTCGGGATTGGTTTTTGTTGTTTCTCTTGTTTCATTCATGTGTGTTCCCACGAGTAGCAAAGGAAGAGTTAGTCACCGTTGGCAGAGCCCCGCATAACCAGAGGTAGGCTGATTACAATAAGGTTTCGTTCGTGACCGCATATCTCCCTGCGACCATTCAGCTGTCGGCAAGATTCCTTACACCTTAGCTTGGTTAGGCTGGTCCACAGTGTATGTTTTGCAAAGGCTTTTGGGGGGTTCCCCTCACCCTACTTATTTCTGTCACTGACCAGGAGTCCAGTGACCCTGTCTGTGAGGCCACATTGTAAGCCCTGGGGCGCCAGTTGAATGGATTCAACAGGAAAGGGTGGAGAAATAGCCAAAAAGTCAACAATGAAGCTCTAAGTTTGAAATTCATTTTAAATTGATATATAGAAAGAAATATTTACAAACTTCACTACTAACTGGTGTGTAGTAACTCAAAAATTGATTTTCATATATTATTTGCAAGGAACTTGTGTAGAAAAAAATCAGGAAAATATATATGCATCAAGTTTAAAGAACCAATATTTAATACTAAAACAAGCTTTTCGAGTAAACATATCAATACGCGGCTATAGGCCGTTTTGATCACGATATTACTACTGGGGAACTCTTATCACAGAACAATATTGAATCGAAATAATCGAGTATTAAACCGACACAGATAGATCATTACATAAATCGAAAATAAGGGAACAAAAATGAGTAGTGAAAAGTAACTGTTTGATTCTTAATCTATCAAAAACCCACTTTTCGATTAACAACAATTAAACTCGATAATTATTTATTATCCCCGTCAACAGCTGTTTTAGGTGCACAGAGAAAAGGAAAACTGTAGTTTTCAGTAATCAGACCGCTCCAAAATATATCATCAATATCAGGGTTTCTACTCACGATGTATCATAATTTTGATATTTTATTTATACTTACAACGGTTCTCTGTTGGTACTTTCTAGAATGTATCCTCATATTTAAAAGAACGACGTGTATGATGCAACTATAGCTGTTTCGAAGGATTTCTCCAATTACCAGATAAATATGCTTCGAAAGCTTTTGTTGCCACCAAAAGTGATCACAAGTGATCTTATTATTCTTGTCCAAAAAACCTTAGATGTTTTTAGGTTTCGGTAATACTATATATTTGAACCGTTACAAATATATGAAATCAAATTGATAAGAGCGTATGGTCAGAGTAACTTGGTGGTGTCACTATTTTTCGGATTTGAAGGTCGTGGATTTTTGAAAAATTTTCCTGACGTTTCGCTGGCACGAGTGGCTACCTTCTTCAGAGGTTTATACATCCTTGAGTTAATATCTTCGATGACTGGATATTACGGCTGCGCAACACATATTTATGCCTACTCCTCAGGTAGTTTGGTGTGCTAACACCTGTACCTAGCTCAGGTAAATTTCGTGAAGAGCATTTCAGTTGATTCAGGTAGTCTGGTGTGATAATACCTGTACCTGAATTAAGTGTATTGTCAATAACATCCTTTGACCTTTCTCTAGATGCCGTCATGCCGTTTGCTATTCTTGAACTCCTTAAAATGGAATTTTATATTCGATTGAGGATCACAGCCGTATTTCTCGATATTGAAGGAGCATTTAACAATGCACTACCTACATCTATAGGATCATCTCTGGGTAGGAAAGGTATAGAATCGACCATAACTGGCTGTATCTATGCCATGCTGGTAAACAGAACTGCAACTACGACTCTTCAAGGCGAGGCTATTAGGTTCCGAGTCAACAGAGGCTGCACTCAAGGTGGCGTACTATCTCCCCATGTGTGGTCGCTTTCGATGGATAGTCTGCTTGATACCCTCGACAGAAGAAAAGTAATTCTGCAAACGTATGCAGACGACCTTCTCATCTTGGCAAGGTTCACGTCGAGAGGGTAGCTTGTAATATCCGCTTGAACACGATGGACGTTGTTCACAGTTGGTGCCTGAGGGAGTAGATGTATGTCAATCCCAGCAAAACTGTGATAATCTCCTTCACCCGGAGGAGAAAATTGGACTATCTAACGCCGCTTTTCCACAATGGTGTGGTCATTCCATTTGGAACGCAGGTGAAATATCTTGGTACTGTGTTTGATGAAAAACTCACCTGGAACCCTCACTTGGAAAAAGTTTTACAGAAAGTCAGACTGTCTCTATGGACTTGTCGAAGGATTTGCATCATATGCAGAGACTCGGACAGTCGGAAGACAGTGTGTGTCACCTCTGTTTGGAAAATGATGAAACAGCAGAGCACATACTTTGTGCCAGCCTCGCTGGGGACCGAATCAGGTTTTCAGAGTTCGGCAGAGCCGTACTCTTACCATCTGACCTAAAAGACCACTCACCATACAAACTAATTGGCTTCGTTGAGAAGCTGGGTTTATTTGGTCGAGTGTGAATAGGTGTGAGCCACAATAAACCCTTGCGGATTGCGCTGGAGGGTCGAATAAACCCACTCACTTTGGACCCAACCTAAGTTAACCTGAGGTTCACAGCTTCTTCTTTTCTGTTGAAATTTTTCCTGTGTTTGTGGATCTCTATCGCCTCACGTGCCAGTCAGCTATGGTATCCCTGGTCGGAGGCAATGAGTACCGCATTTTCAAATAAATCATATGATTTCTTTCACTCCAGTGCGGGCTCCTCCACAGCTGAGTTGTTAGTTTGACCTAGTCTGCAGGTTCTTTCACGATCCTTCAACCTTGTTTCCATGGATCTCTTGGTAGTTCCGATGTATATCTTCCCACAAGTGCACGCTATGCTATATTTACTCACCTTATCCTGATGGGCGAGGACCTTTCTCGCCGACCAGTGAGATTGACCTTGAAATGTAAATTTACAAAATTGATCACCGTAAGAAAAGGCATGGGACTTTGAGTCATATTCCGTATAGTACCTTTACCACTACAACTCATATTAGTTCCCACTAGAGCATTTCATTCATTAAAACCACATAACCCTACATATTCAGTGACAAATACTCGAATAGTCAACTATTCCTAGTGAAAATGTAAATTGCTTTTGCACATGCGCACGCTGATAATAATGTCAAAATTCCAATCAGAGGTATCAGGTGAGATTAGGTTGACTTTGTTGTTCATTTTTTTTTATGATGAAATATGATGAGTGCGTGTGCATAGATGAGGAAACAATAGTGCTGCATAAATATGTGCTATATCCTAGTGAAAATTTCATAGTTGAACTTGAAATGAAAATGAAAGTGAAGATGAAAGTTGATGATGCAGCATCGCCTTCACTTCTCCACAACATAATTCTTTTCGACGAAGGGTGTAACACCGAAGCGTTTCTTTTATCTCAATGGACATTTGATGAGGACAAATGAAATTATAAACAAGCAAAAGAAAACAATTAGGAGCCGTGGATGCCGTACTGTTTTTCACGTCGAGAGGGAAAAGAAACAATGGGAAACGAAGCATGTCCCAATTAGAACAATAATACGGATCATGAAGTGGCGTGCTTTCGTGCCGATGAGATCACGTGTTTTTAACCTTTTTGAACCACTTCTCGATGAGAAAGGACGGCCCTTCGTGAAATACGATTTCGTTTCGTTATTTGGACGATCTCGTTATTTTACGAGTACATTATTTGGAAAATATTTTTTCAGTGAATAATTATATTTTTCAAATCAGTCTTTTGATAAGATATTTATGTCAAACACCAGTTACGTACAGCGCCATCTGCCCGCAAACAGTTCAAGCAATAATTGATAGTTAATTACAGTGCCATCTGCCCGCGAATAGATCAAACAATAATGCCGATAATTCTGTCAATACAGATCCCGAGATTGAGAGTTACAAACAAACATACAAACAAACATACATACATACAGGTGAAGCTAATACAAAGCGTGTAAAAAAGGTATTTTGTGAGTGTTTGAGATCGAAGTATGAATAACAAACAATTGGATTTCACCTACCTGATAACATGTACATCTCAGCAAACTTCAATTTGTTGGTGAAGTTCGCTCGTCCCTTTCTGAGCCGTAATTTCACACAAGGGTGTGTTTATGGGGGTTATCAGGGGTAATTACCCCCTCCCCTCCTTTCCGACACCATCATTCAATGCATTTCACAGGGGTTTTGGAGAATCAATTTCTGAAGCATGAAGAAGATATAAAAAATTATGTTATACCGTAAAACGGGGTGAATAGAAACCGGGGGAGAATAGAAACATAAATGAAGCATCAGTTCAAAAATGCCCTGAATTGTTCAAATTCAATAGAGAAAGCTTCAAACGATATGTGTTGGACACAATGCATGTCTAAAAACATGAAATCAGTAAATTTTATTGATATGCTATTGGCAACACTGTATATCCGTTATTTCAGTTGAACTTATGATCGTATAACGTATACGTCGTTGACTAAACATTAGAAAAAACAAATTTACAAACTAACAAATTGGCCCAGACATAATTTAATATGTCCCAGTTATGTTCACAGCTACTGTTGATGGCAAAGTTTTACCTTCTTCTATAGTTTACAAAGCCCAGAGCATGTGCTAGATACAACCGAAGTTGTAGTGGCTAGTTCGACGTCATCAGCTTTGGCGACTGGGTTACCAGAGTAGCAATTCCACCATTGAAAAAAGCCAGGAAAAAAATTCTCATTGATGATGATCTCTTGAGTAATTTTTTTTTCAAAAACTGTTGATGCAACACAACATTTCCTTCATATTCCTGCCAATAAACTCAACTCAAATAATTCCGCCTCGTAGTTGCGAATTTTTTGAAATCATTGAGGTATTCTGATACAAATAAATTACAAAAATGATCTCAATTGAGTATTTCACCAAGTACTCTTGTTGGGCAGATTTCAGACTGACAGGCGACAAAAATCCAAATTTTGTTTTCTTGATCATATCCTAAAATGTATTATTGTATTATATGCATTTATGTATTATAAAGTTTTCATTTGTTCCAGGTATGGTTCCAGAACAGGAGAGCGAAATGGAGGAAAGCAGAGAGATTGAAGGAAGAACAAAGAAAAAGAGATGGACAAGACATTGTGAAGAGAGACGGGGAGACAAAGGAAGAGAAGGTAAAAAATTGATGGTATTACATTCAATGAAATTTCTCGTTTTCAACCATATATAAATAGTGGTACTGTCAGCAACCTATATACAGGGAAATTCAAATTTGTTTCTGTACATGGGGATCTCGTAAACGATAAGAGATAGAGTGACGATTGAATTGTGGCAAGATTGCGTATTTCAGAGACCTAATCAATAATGTGAAAAAATCGAATATAGCTCTTTTGGTTCTGGAGATATACAGGAAAAACCAAAAAATCCCAAATTCCAAGTCAGATTACACCCTATATAAAAGATTCATGGACATATTCTGATAGCCCACATCAAGTGCCAATAGCAGAGACAGATTTTGAATATGTCTGTGAATAAAGAAGATATAGGCAAAAAATTAATTTGGGATTTTTTGGTTTTTCCTGTATATCTCCAGAACAAGAAAAAACTACATTCGATTTTTTCACATCATTGAATAGGTCTCTAAAATACGCAACTTTGCCACAATTGAACCGACACTCTCTTATCGTTTACGAGATCTCCATGTACAGAAACGAATTTGAATAGCCCTGTATATTAAAAACATACGACCTCAGGAAAATTGTTTCTAAGGTAGTTACAAAAGACAAAAAAAAATACGTTTCTCGAGTTTTTAGTTGAAAATCTAGGAATGAAAAATTTTTGGGGCATTCTGACGTGTTTCAATGTCGCATTAATATCATTTTTCTAGCTTTCAAAATAATAGAGATATCACATGGTGACTCAATTCTGAGACAATTTTGAAAAACGTTTTAAAATTCACTGCAACGCGATGATGTTTATGAGCAAGGGACATCATCCATTGATTGCTGTTCATATTCATTGTAACGTTACTTGAGAATAATTCAGTTGAGAATAAAACTTCGTATCTAGTTTCAAAATTGACGGAAAAAATGTTTTTCTAGTATTCATTATGTAAGATTGAAGGAATGAATATATCACGAAAATCATGAAATAAATTGTTATAGATCATATATATAGTGGGGTCATTAATATGCAGACTTTTGTTATGAAATTAATTTATGAAATGGAACTTTACGAATAGTATATGCCCTAATGCTATGAAATGACAAAACAATCGAAGTTCCACTGGAAACCCACAAAGGAAAATAATTGTTGAACCACGTCAAGTTTTTGATTTGGCTAGTATGTATCTGTAGGAAAAAAATTACTTCCACTGAAATCTCTGCAAAACCAAAGTATCAAATGTATATTCAAATAACCTTTTTTGGAGCCTACTTTCCATCTATATGTTCCAAATAATGTAATATAAATAGCAAATATATCTATTTTTACATTCTGTCATCAATAACAAAAAACATTAGAATTTCATTCGATTGACACACTTCTTAATTAGTAAACTAGACAACCCAAAATTAAGAAATCTGTATTTTATACTGAAGTTTTGATTTACAACAATCAACCCAATAATATAAAAAAACAGAAAAACGATTGAAAACCAAACGAAACAAACGTTTGCCAAACTACCTCTTTTTGTCTCTCATCAAATTCTGATTCAATCTATATCATTTGTTTCGGTGAAATGAGTATCAAGTCACACTTATTCTACAATATAGGAAAGGATGGAATAGTTGGTTTTGAGGAATGATTGAGCAAGAGAACGGCTTCTATAGCAGAATAATACGTCTTGGTGGTCATGGCAAAAGGCATACATTCGAACTGGGAAAAGCCTGTCGCACACTTTTTTACCAATTTATCCATATCAATACTGAATATAAAAAACATTGTGATTTGAGCTGTTAGACAATTATCAGAAATTGTATTAAGAGTTAGGGGTATCATTTCAGATTTAGGTTCTAATTTTCATAAACTTGCCAAAAAAGATCTTCGTTTTAAAATTCGCTCCAAAGCGATGATGTTTATGGGCAAGTGACATCATCCATTGATTGACGTTCATGTTTATTGTAACGTGACTTGAGAATAACTCAGTAACTTTCCATAATCAACCGAGAATTGAAAAAGGTAATCATCATTCTAAGAAATTCTGTTAGGAAAAGTACCGTTTCTCGCCATAATTTGCTCGAATCGAGTCAACATCCCTAAACAGTTTTTTTTTTGTCCCAGGTCGAAGATGGCCACCCCCCGAGTAGCTCCCCGGAAACGAACGCAGACGAGGAACTAGCTCGGGAACGAGAATGCTCCAGCAGGAGTAGCGCCGGTCGGGAATCCCCCGAGCAGCTCCGGAGCGCCACAGGTGAACCCGATCCATCGAATCCCTCTTCGCCTCGTAGCCCTGCTCCTTCGGTGTCTTCGGAACCACCGAGGCCCATCCAACCTCCGCCGTTTTCGCATATGTTTCCCTTCGGAGACGGGTGAGTGGAATCTCTATGATTATGCTTTATAGAGGGCGAACTTGTCACAGAGTTTTGTTCTTATGAAAAAACATGTTCCACTTCCCCAACAATAAAAAAAAGAAATGAATACAAAAATAATGTAAACTTGCTAGAAAACGGTTCAACTGTCTTATTCAATGAATCTTTGTCCACTGTAATATTTCCAGATGGTTTTAAATGTATTCACAAAATAAATTAGAAACAAATAATTATAGAGGCGCCCCGCTATTACTCTGTTCTCGAAAGGTCAAGAGTTCAGTTGATCAGTAACTTATGACATATCTCAAATAAAAAATTTNACAAAAAGGATCCTTCAAGCCATAGCTTCGAAGTTTGGCCAGCAAACCGTCATGCCACAAACAGTCAAAGGCCTCAGAAATATCAAGCGCAACAGCTCTTGATTCTCCATGTTTCTCAATTGCGTATTTCCAAATATGTGTGACATACGATAGAAGGTCGTTCCAAATATTCAAGGATCTGGTGGTTTACGGCTTTCTCTATAATTTTTGATATTACTGATAGCAGAGCGACTGGTCTATTGTTATTTGGAAGATTGTTCTTGCCCTTTTTGGGAATAGGCTGAAACAAGAAGGAAAAAACCTCTTCCTGCAAAATACCGGTGCGAGTTCATTGACGCACTTTCGAATACAATTACGGGCACTTTATCAAGACCAGATCTTGTTGATATTGAGCTGTTTCAAAATTCGTCTGACTAGACGTTGTCAAAAAGTAATTTCCGGCATTATGGATTCCAATGTGGGAATTATAGGTGGTGCAGATTTGCTTTTTCTATGGCTGTTGTTGCAATTGAACCATCCGCTTGTGTTAGTGGTGGAATTGTGGATTTCTTAAAGTTTTGATTAACAGCTTCAGCTACCGACCAGAAGGATCTGGACCCCTTGGAATTGGTAAGTAGTTTATCCTTGATTCTCTGATTGTGTACTGATGGGTACAATATGGTATTCAAAGCTTAGAAATCATTTACTTATGAGTCTGAACTGACTTAGGATTGCAAAGTCACCTCAAAGCAGCTGATTAAGAAAAATCAAGTTACTTTGATTCAGGTGACAGATCACAGGAAGATGATGTCCTAGTGAAAGACAGGATCCTTCTTGAAGACTCTTGAAGTGCTACATGATAGAGACATTTCAATAATGGTAACCCGATCAACTAAGATATCAATGGAATGAAGTATAAGTATAAATAGAAGTGAAGCTGCTGAGTAGCTTCTAAGATTTGAAAGAAAGACCTGAGATTGGCACTGTTCTGTGAAGAGCTTCATTCTTTATAGGACACTCCCAGTGAGGTATTATCTCTAGGCAGATCAAAATCAAAATCAAAGTGTTCCTTATTGACTATTCTCCATACAATTTCAAGGTATTTTTTTGTGGTGTTTATAAAATATATACAATAAAAAATATATATACAAATATACAAAATGTACACAAGGGTTTCCCCAATGGAGTGGGACAGTGGGAAGGATTGGGATGGGTAGTGAATGGGGTAGAGGGAGTGGCAGGAAAAGACCCCGATACATTTGCGCTCTCAAGAATTCCGCACGGAAGAGAAAAGCGCCTCCACACAGTTCCCCGATGGGACAGTGGGAGACGCCCCCGCTGGTGTTGGCGGTTGGCTCTCCACTCAAAAACGCCTTATATCAGCCTCATCTATCGGAATGTGAGAGTTGTCACTACTACTTTGTGTTTTCAATGATACATACATAAAGTAGTTTATTTTGTTCTGCAGTGAACGGTTTGAATGTCTTTGAAACTAGTTTCCATTCAACTTCTTCATATTTCAAGTGTATACCGTTGACTGAATTATTATAACGCATGTATGGAACAACGGCACTTCTGAAAGCAGTTGACTGATACAAAACACATCTGGAGTATGACCCCAGAAAAGTTATAATATATTTTCAAGATGATAGAGACATCTAGTGATCAACAATGAGGGTCATATTAAATAGAATAATGTTCATTAAATTCGTTTTTCTCAAGTTATGAATGAAATGTTAACACTCCTATTATAGGGACCTGAAAAAGGTGTTGCTTGATGAAAGGATATATCAAGAACTCAATAAATTGCTTAAATTGAAATTAGTTTGAAGACACCTCAGTAGATTTTATGGTCATGATCAATTAGTGACAGAGTTAGTTCGAATTCATTCACACGAATTGGAAAATAAAGCTTATTCATGATTGAATAAAAAATGTTGGAAATTTCCAACAAATAATTACAATGACAACTCCTAATCAAGATATATAGAGCACAGAAATTTCTTTCAGATACAAACTGGATGAGAATACAATTCAGAAACAACGAATTCCATAAGAACACTGGAATAAACGAAAAAAAAACGTTCTTTAGGAAAAAACACTTTCATATGGAAACATAAATCAGTTTTTCCCATTTGGTTTGTACTACGAATATTCGTAATGGAAATGAAACAGACAACAATCGTAGAAACGTCGTAGTACAAACTGATATATGTAAGAGTATTGATAAATAAAATCATTTACATGGAACACTGTCATTCTGAATTCTATACTTCGAAGTTTCGGAACAAAAGATATGAAAGTAGTTGTTTCAAAATGGTATTTTTTCTTCAAGTTTGTAATTGGGAGTACTTCTGTATATTCTCTAAATTTTTTTCATGAGTTTTTATTGCAGTTAGTTTCGTTCCTTGTTTGGAATTTTCCCAAATGTTTTGTTTATTGACGGAGAAGTAGAAAGCCAAACTGATCTCCTGAAGTTATTCCCTTTTCAATTTGAATTAAATTCGCTCTTTCTTTCAATATACAGCAATGCGACCGAAATGAGCTTCATTAGAATTTCACAGAATCTCCCTATTCCACAGAAACCGTAATTCGACTTCATTGTAATTTACTAAAGATAGAGGAGTACAGTATAAAATCTGATTATACGAATTCCAAATTATTACAGCTACAGACAATAACGTCCCCTTTGAGAAGTTTCCATCTTTATAACTTCATTTTCTGACGCTGCGACTAAATTACCTTAAGCCCTTATTATGTCTCCTTAATGCAGTCATAAACATTCGAAAATCTTGTGTCGTAATTTGTTATTTAGGTTAGGCGACACATTTCTTGTGGTTCAATTATTTAACAAGATTGTAGCTCATCGTTTGCCTTGCATATACGGAAGTCAAAATGAGAAAATCATACAAAAAAATTATTATTGATTCAAATGGATTATTTCTGTTGAACAATTTTTTAAATTTCGGAATTGATCTGAACCTAATATTTTTTTGTAATTCACGAATAATATGTTATGTGGAGTATGGTATGGTCGTAAAGATAAGTATTGCGTATATATAAAATAGCAGGTTTTCTCGCCCAATTACAATGAATGTTCCCTCAATATGTATTTTAGATCAATTGACATTTGTGTTAATTCTTCCCGTCTACATACACCGGTTGAGCCGATGAATGTTGCAACTTGAAAATAAAACAAATTAAGCTGATACTTTTAAATCCTACAATAATAATATTCTGTTGAGATTACCTTTATCATTAAATATGTTTCATTATTTGCTTCCCGAACGGTTGCCGAAAAAATAATCATTAGTTTGAATGTTTCAGTTCATTAGTTACATTTCATTATTTTGGTTCAAATAATACTAGAAATACATATTAATTTGAATTTGATAATAACCTGCATGTACGGAACCTGAAATGTCCTTTCCATTTCAGAAAATATACGATCAGATTTTTCATCTGTCTTAAATTGATTGAAAGAATAGTCATCCGAACTGAAGATACATAAAAATTTCATATCATATTTTCATATATCAGTTCATATCATTTGTTTGTTGAAATGTACTTTTTTAAAACAAAAAATATACATGCCTAGATTGAAACGAGAACAACATATAGATAAAACATTCAGATTTGCTGATGTTGATGATCAATATTGGGACCCCTTCTCTTTATTATTCATATTAACGATTTGCCAAATATGTTACCTCAAATATCGATACAATTATGTATGGTGATGATACCACATTTGGTATCAGTATCAATAAAGGGGAGTGTTCGGCTACAATCCTTGGGGAAGTTATGGAACGAGCAAAAACCTGGTTCTTGACATCCAGAATATCCTACAATGTAGAAAACGACCTAGACATGCTGCGCACTAAATTTCTGGGTGTAGATGTAGATGTCAGGCTATAAGAAAAGTTAAACAACTTATTAACCAATCTGCTGCAATAACTACTTATTATGTACTGTTCGAATCCATTATTAGATATTATGGCTTATCTGTCTGGAGCTCGGCAGCTCAGTTTCATTTAAATGTTATATTCGTCATTCAGAAGGCTGTAAGAACTATTATAGGAGCTAATTTTGAAGACTCTTGCAAACCAATCTTTAAAACGTTGAGAATAATGACACTTTACTCTCTGATAATTTTTGTAAAGTTACTATATGTCAAACAAAACATTAATAGTTACTCTGTTGTGTCCGATATATTGAATGAAAAATGAAGAAAGAATCTCAGCTAAATTTATAATATTATTCTTCACTTGAATGTCGAGGCTGAAAAAGTTTTCTTTTTTCTGTTTGGAATGTAATGGGTTGTCGAATCCAGTACGTCTGTTTCATGAGCAAGATGAAAATTCACCAGAAATTACATTTTTAGAACTGATTACTGGAAATCAATGAATCTTCGAATTCCTTCGTTTTCCTTCCAAAAACTAATAGTGAAATGAAATAATAATAAATTGGCTGGAATAAAACGAAATTCAAGCTAGTACCATAAAATGAGTAGAATAGTTTATCTTGGAATCATCAGTATGAATATATTCAAGCTTTGTATCTA